GGTCCCCATAGACTTGTGTATTAAAATGCCCAACTTTACTGCAGAAATAAACATGTTTACAGCCTGGCTTCGCCTGCTAGGCTTCACCTCAGTTAATTGGGGTCACTCAACTGGACCACTTGACTGTATTTCTGTCAAGATCAGTAGAGTCAAAATATGATTGCTTTTCCATCTGCGGTAATTTATATCCGGCTGTGCTGCAAGGATCACGTTCCACAAACATGTGTGGAAGGCCCAAGGCAGGGACAGCGGTGGTACAGAGCAGGCAACAATGACATCGATGAGACTGAAGAGGAGGGACCTGGTAGAACGTGGGTTGCAAAGCTTCTTGCAGAAGCTGCAACAGCCATATGCATGCTAAAGAAGCTTAAATATCTAGATTGATATGGGGTTTACCAAAAGGATGTGGAGAAGGGTATTAGATGTGCTAGCTGCTTAATGAGGCCCATTCCCAGTTGGTAGTACCATAATCAGTTATCTGTCCAATAATGTGGCAGTTATGATCACAAGTCTGTACCTGTGTCATTACCTGTGCAGTTTATGAATACAGCTTAATAACCAAGCTCTGCTAATGCTAACATCTCATCCAAGCAAGGTCTGAAGTTGAAGCTTTAAAATGTGCAGACACCAGCGTGACACGACATGCTGTTTGTGGACAGTTTTCAATTCCTGATTAAATATTGCAGTTTGTTACGTTTTACATTTAAAAGTTATACACAAACACTTAGTGCCATTGAAAGAATGGTAGCTGGGTAGGGCAGGTTTTGGCTGTGGTCTATTTTGGTCAGTGCATTAACACAGATTAATATGTCCAGTTGCAAATGTACTTGCATATACTTGTTGAGGTCATGTACTTTGGTACATTTTTTGATGCACCTTCACTAGTACTTTCCTTTCAGCTACTGAATATCAAGCACCGATGATGACAAAGTGCTTCTAGAAGAAAACCAAATATTTTGAAGTCCCCGTCTAAGTGAATGGGGTAAAAGGGCATATTTTTAGCTTTAAAGATCACCGGGCTGTTGTAAGGATGTGGATTGTTGGACCCAAATGCAGAATGCAGGTGACAAAAAAAAATAAAATAAAAGATGAGTTTTAAAAGCTGAGGAGAAGTTCATGACAATAATGTCCAAAATAGAGTTTATTATATAACCACGAGTGGCATCGAATAACCGACTGCACACAAGGCTGCACAAACTAACCCTTGAACAATATGACAGTCAGCACTACGCACTGAAAACTCACATAATAAAACAGGAACTAAAGTGTAAAATTACTAGAATGATAATGGAAACAGAACATGAATCAAACCTCACACTAACAATAATCAGAAACTTACAAGGCTAGAAAAGCAATAAAACGAAATCCTGTACAAACCCGAACACAGAAATATTAAAGGATCCAACGCTTAACTCAAGAAAACGCTCGGATTATGACATGAAAGTAAAGAATCACCAATAAGAGCCAATAAAA